TTAGGTTCCGGTGTCGAATGCCCAAACAAGGTGGGTAGATGAGTTTGCAGCGGTTAAACTTCAGAAGAGATATATAGTTGAAAAGTCACTAGTGTGGAAATGGATGACGGATGTATAAAGATTTAATGGGCAGGAATGTGAATGAGACGAGTGACTTAATGAGAGGATTATAGGCCTTAGGAAAAGCTAGATTGATGACTGAGTATATTCGCATTAAAAGTGATGGCATGTGTCAAGGATTTTGATGTCTACAGATTCAATTGGACCTGGTTGCGAGTACTGAATTTCCAGGAGTCAAGGCGCCACAGTTATTGACAGTGACATAATTACAGCCATTCGTCCGGGGCTAAAGAAAAGAGAATATATACTGAGAATGTATGTAGTTATGTAGCCCATAGCTATAAAAACGTCCAGAGTTTATTAGTCATACAAAACATTTTTTTAGAAAATATGAAATAATTATCTAGTATGTAGTATGCTATTAAAGCAAGTACTCTAAACTGCTACATTTATAATGTAGATAAAGAAATACCATGTCAAAATATGAAAAAATATAAAGTGAATCCAAACAAATAATTGTTTTAAGGTGGTAAAATGTTTAGATCGATCATTTCACATGACAGGCCATACTGGACTCTCCAGTTTTGGAAAGCCTCAAAGTTGAGGTGCAGCAATATAATGAGGTATATTTTCGGGATAGGCTTCATATAATTAACTCAGAAAACAGAAAATTTGATTGAATGGGGTGATCTAAAGTACTGTTAAGAAATCATGTATTTGAAGTAAATTGCTAAAAAGAATATTACTAATCATTTTTTAACTTAATAAGGCTCATTGTGTAATTGCTAAAATAACATCTAAGATGCGGAATAAATCCGAATAAATACTACATATACATAAAGCGCAAGGAACCGATTAGTCGAACCAAGGTACATTTTTAGTTACAGTAAAGGATCAATTTGGCTCTCTTCGTTATCTGAATTGCAATATGGAAACATTAGCATTGCTGATCGAATTTATGCTTGCAATAATTAATTGTTTGAGATATAACCAGGCTACTAATACATATGTGATGTATTCACCCAATTTTGTTTAAGGTGATGAAGGGCTGGTAGAGGAAGAATTTTCCCAGTAGAGCTGACGTTTCTATTGAATTTCACATTGCCTTGCTTTCCCCAAAGTTGTTCTCATCCAGGCACCAGTGGACTGCAGTTTCGACCTCGCCTCAGTCTTTTCAACACCCCCAGTGGGAGTCGAACCGTGACAGTGCAGAATGGGAGTTTGACATGTTAACCACTCGGCAACACTGCCACGATTGCCCTTTGATCACAGGGCAAATGTGAATTTCAAGCAAGGCCAGGCATTTTTGCCATATAATATTCTTTGGTGGGATTGTCGATGAAGCAAACTTATATTTGCTATAATAATCGACTACGTTATTTTTCCAAAGTTGAACCGTGGACGTGGTACATTCACAAAAGTTTCGCCGGCATCGTCAGTTAGTATCGCCGTTCTCAGCACCACACAACAACTCGTCAAAGAGACAAGTTAAGCCGATCCTTTGACCAAACATGTGCTAAACAATTGTGGTATCTCGCCAGGCCAGAAGAGGAGATACCACAATTGTTTAGCACACGTTTGGTCAAAGGATCGGCTTTACTTGTCTCTTTGACGAGTTGTTGTGTGGTGCTGAGAATGGCGATATTCACTGACGATGCCGGCGAAACTTTTGTGAATGTACCACATCCACGGTTCAACTTTGGAAATGATCATGCAGACAATGGATTCCGGACTAGGTGCGTTTCTCTAAGTCTTCCTACCAATATCTTCCTTTTTTTCTTCACTATATTACTACTCGTTGCATTTAGCAAAGGTGCTCACAAATTGCTCATTTATTTTTCCTATAATAAACAATTCGGGCCTACTCACTAAAGTTTAAGTCTTCGGGCCCCAGTTAGCGTTGGTCATATTCTCTTTCTATATGAAAGTTTGTGAGGAAGAGATTATAAGTTAAATTCTACTAGAAGACAGCGATGGAGCCAACTGGATTCGTTTAGATACTTACGCATTAAGATACATAAACACATATAACAAGAAATAGCCAAATTATATTTATATATTCAGGCTAACGAGTCAGGAAAACTCATCTGCCTAAATATATATATATATATGCATGTATGTATGTATGTATGCATGTATGCATGTATGTATGTATGTATGTATGTATGTATGTATGTATGTAT